AGACACTTTGTCAATGGAACAAGACAATTTACATTTAAAATAAGAAAAAGCAATTTCATTGTTTTATTTTAAGTGCATATTATAAAATTATTTTATTCTAAGAGTATAAATGCTGATTCCATTGGCAGATCATCTTATTTACCTGCTCAAATTAAGAGTTAATACACTTAATCTAAGAAATGTTGACTAATTTTAGATTCTTTTTTGCAGTGAGCTCATGTTAGGATAATTTATGTTAGTAGGAACACATGAACATATTTCCAAAAAAAGTCTTCATTTTGGAGCCGCAGTTCAAAGGAAATTAAAAGCAGTTTATGTTCCTCTTGTGTTCAAAGTGATCTGGTAGAAAACAGTAGAAACAGAAAAAACAAAACTAATCCTACAACTAAATTAAAATCTAAGCAGTGAGATGAGCGTCTGCTTCCTGTTTCCACCTTAAATCTCTGATCCTGCGGAGTGGATGACCCTGAAAGGCCACCTTTGCTCCTCTGCACGGAACCAGAATCAGAACCAAGCCTTCTGAAACATGCTGAGCTGATTCATCAACACCGTGGCAAACGTAAAAAATCAGAAACTGACTGAATATTTGTTGGTTTACAGAAGCAACCTTTAACTCCAGAGTTTAGCTTAAAATTATAAACAGTTTAAAACGCCATGTTGATCGAGATAAAACCTCCTCTTTACAAACCTGCCACATGACCCCATGTATACTCTTCTTTTTTAATGAGATATTTAGATTTCTTTCTTTTTATATTTGTCTTTTCTAAGTTTTACAAACGTTTGTGGTGATAAAATGACGCTTTTCTGCTGTACTTTCATACACTGGGAACATTTATGTAAAAAAAACTGTTCTGAGATAATCTGTTGGAAATGTTTGTTTTTTAGCTGTACAGCAAAGCATTGCAATATTAATAGCACATAAACTGGAAAATGTTTAAATTTCTTAGTTATCAGCCTTTAAGTATGAATGAGTCATTTTAATGTGTACATTGATGATTATAATGTATTATTAAGACAAGCCTTTATTTTTATACAGCAAATCTAAGAGCACAGAAACAGAGTTTCTTTATACAGTGAATTTACTGAATGATCGTTTTCACACCAGGAACATTATATTTATGCAGAGAGCCTAAACTGCTGACATCAACGTGCTCTTCTATACTCCATATTTAAGTTCATCTGATTTTAAAATAAAATGCAAACAAACTGCTTGGTTAGTGTTTTTAATGTGTTTCTTATACGTATTGTTTAAGTTATATCCAGACACACAGAGCATTGTATTAAACTGTTATAATTTTGTGTGTTTTTCTTAGATGAAGGCTGAAGGTATAATTGAGAAAATATGAGTTGATTTCAACATAAAACAAACATGTTTGAATGGATGAAACATGCTGCAGGTTTTTGGACACAGGATAAAGCTGCAGATGGCCACCAGATGGCGACAAAGCAGCTCTGTCTCTAAACGAGAATACGAGAATGAGATGAAAAAACTACAG